GTATGAGTTGTGTCGAGCTATTCATTAGCCTGTTTGTTTGATGAAAAAAGATCAAATGTAGTTGCAATAAATGTGTTAAGAATCCATACAACTGCAGCAGCAGAGGACTATTATTCTGCTGCGTGATACTGCAGAAGAACTGATGATGGCACGGTTTGATCTTCGGCTGAGGGCAGAAAGGGGCGTTTAATTCCCGCCCACGTGTAGAAATCGAATATTGAAGCTGTTTATTCATTTTTCTACCCCTGAACGAAAAACGAAAATTTAAGCTGAATTCTCGTTTTTCGTTTTTTGGAAAAAAACGAAAAAGGAGCCGTTTTCTCATTTTTCCACTTTCAATATTAAATCAAAAAACGAATGATCGAATGATACACGGATTCATCAGGGATGCAGAGCACATTAGTAAGGCCGCTCTATGCAGAGCGGTGAGGAAAGTGTGTCTCACTCTCACGCTCTTTCTCATAATATTTGTGTAGTTTTCTGAGCACAAACCCATCGAAAATGAAGCTGATTATTGTATGAAATGGAAGGATGCCAGATGGAAGGGTAGTTCGAGATATATGCCGTAACCACCACTACAGCTGTTAATTTTATTTGGTCATCTTTATTTCCTACAAATAAAAAAGCAACAGTTATTCTTTTTCCTGTTGGATTTTAATATTCTTCCAATACTTGGTATTGTGGCCATCTCCTCTTCATCTGTTCTTCATTATTTTGCAAACCTTCTTGCTGTTGGCTGAGTAGAAGTCAAATGTTAATTGAATTACTCTAATTAAGAAATGCAACAGTTTGGATTAGAGAACGTTTAATTGTGAAAAGAGCATTAGACTATGTAGAAAAAGCTGCTGCACACTGAAATAGACACTGAATGATAAATATTTAATATATTAAATGCTTGTAAAGTCATGTAGCCTACACTCATGAACCTTTTATGCTTAAAGCGTTACCTTGATTGAATTATGTTTTTATACTTCATACTTTTTTTTGTTATTTTTTTCTTTTCTTTTGCCTGTAGGATACCATGAAAATTAATATTACTTCAATAATTTACCATTCTGCCACATTTTACCTTTGATATTATAACAGTGATTAAGAATTAAAGTTACGTATTGATTCGGAAGTATGCAGACGTCTTTTTGTTGTTGCCATGGTGAATCATAATTTCGGAGCTCCATTGATCATGGCTTTTCATAGTTGTGGTGCACTCGCTAAACTCAGAGTCAACCACTCAGAGTCGATTGAACTTACTCAATTGAGCTGTTCTGAACCCGAAAACTCAGAGTTTCCCATCTCAGGGTAAGTCAACTCAGAGTTCAAGTTTCAACTCAGAGTTGGTTGAACCTCCTTATTGAAACGGGCCCCAGATGTGTTCACTCGCTGATGAGTCTCAGTCACACGACAGTAAAAAGTGCTGTGAGATCCAGTGTGAAGCATACCATAGTTACCATAGTTACATTCTTACCATTGTATTGAGGTGCTACATGTAATCATGATCTAATTGTATGCTACTATGGAAGACCAATGGTTAATTTTAATAAAACGCAGTCAGAATAATTACATTTCACCATATAAAAATTAGGTTGTTACAATTACAGATGTTACTGTTTTTGATAATGAACATAAATTTACATCTGCATCCTAACTCAAGCTACTACTACTGTCAACTCAAGCTACTGTCAAATGTGCATTTCTAAGAGACAAAAATACATAATATTTTTAATATTGCAGCCTGCACTGCAAACTGTGCTGAAGATACACGTCATTAATGTCAGGCAACACAAACCTGTTTCATGATTTGAAACAATATTACTCATTAAAACATGCAGATACTAAGAAATTAATTTTTCTATATTGACATCTATTATTTTGTTAAGGAAAAATGACTGGAAAAGTGTAAAGAATTCAAAAATGTGAAGTGTTTGTCATGTTCTGACCATAAAGAGTAGTTTAAAACCGCAATTAATGGTCTGGTTTATACAACTTTCACTTAGGAGCAAAAATCTGCCTTTAAACTTGAAAGAAATAAAGATTTGAAATGTATCATGATAATTATCGATATCGACTGATATGAAAAATGTTATCATGATAATTTTGTAGTCGAACTGTCTTCTGTGCACATGGGCTTGACATAAACAATATTGGACGACATAGGCACACAATTTGAAATCTGACTTGACAGCTCAAAATGTAAATTAATTATTTAGGCTTATCATAGTGATTCAGGATAATGCCAAAATATTCATTTTTATAACCTGATTTTTTTTTATGTACTCGTTAAATAGTTGAATTTTGTTCATTTTTAATGAAAAAAAAATCTTCTGTGGTGCAGCTTAAAAAATCTGACAAAGACTATGAATAAGATGATTGCAGTTTTATTGTAGTTTGATATATTGGCACTTATTTCTATCACTTAATTTATCTAAATTTAAACTTTGTCTTTAAATTTCCCCTTCTCTTGCAGTGCCGGACTCTGTTAAACCCAATCCCAGCATCCCTTCAAGCCCCATTCTGACCCTGAACCTGCCTGTACCCTCTGCTGCCACCACCAGCAATGGCAAGCGTAGCCCTTGTAATTCCCTACAACAGCAGTTACCTCCATTACAGCAGCCCAGTCCCCGATATGTGCCCAGAGAGGTTCCTCCACGCTTCCGACAGCAGGAGCAGAGGCAGCTACTGAAGAGGGGTCAACCTTTACCTACAGTCGCTCTGAACCCGACCTCTGCTTGCACTCAGTCCGGGGTCATCTCCCCTCCCGAGACGCCCACCAGCAAACGGCACACGGGTGAGAATCATGTTCTGTTTTTTTGAAGGAGAGACTAAGATATTTATTTTCATAGGCTTCTCACTGTGAATAGAGATGAATTGTGGTATTTTTTTATCATTTGTTGTCTTTAGGGATGTAACGATTAATCACGAGCCGGTTGAAAATCGATTAAAATATGTGACGATACAAATCGGTTGAGATGCTAAAAAAATTGTGATTCAATTAGGGATAGGATTTATATGAATGTATGTCTGAGGGGAACTTACTGACTTTAGAAAAGTTAAGATGGTAATGTTTCTTTTCATCTTGCCTCTGTATAATGCATATTAAAGTTCATTAGTGCAGCACTGCTTTGTTTATAGCGGAAACCAAGGAAACGCTTTAAGCGCCACCTGCTGGCAGAGAGTGAATCTGCGTCTCATTCAGCTCAGCTTTCATGCAGATATTTTTTATGTATACTTTCACAAACCTGAAGTTAAATCATTCTGTTTTTGCTTCAAATTTCGAAATTATACAACCCAATTTAGATTAAAAACTGTTCATGTTGCATGTATGCAGCA